CAAACAATGACATATTTATATAGTTATTTGAAACTGGATTTCTGGGATTTTGTCTATGGTTACATTCTGATCATTTCAAATTGTGTTTTTCTGGTTCAAAAGTTTACTTACTTTTGAACACATTCATGCATAACTTTTAGGTCTTTCTTTGTGTGAATACTGTGTTCTTGATAGCACCAAAGTATTGGCATATTAGCATTAAAGTAGAGAATCAGATAAACGTGAAGTGTGGTACCTTTTGAAGAGCAGGGAGTCGTCCATGTGCTCTACGTAGACTGAGGTGAGTCTGTACTGGTTCTCTGTGGTGATATCGATCTGATATCCGGTCAGGACGTAGCACACTGTGCGGAACTCCTGAATCTTGCTCTGAAACACTTCCTTCAGCCTCTGGTTTCTGAGCTCCAAGATCTCCATCTGCTTACGCAAATCTGCAACACACACAAAGAAATGGAGAATACATTGGTCATTTATAACACCACTTATTATGTATACAAGTAACTCAGACTTTCCTCTCTAAGATTCTGTAACACGTGCACAACTTCCTCTCCGTAGAGCTCCACAAGTGCATGTTCAAGTCACTTAGCTAATGTAGCATAGATGGACGGCTCAATATCAAATACACACTCCCTGAGGCCCTCCATCTGCTCACTTAGTGCTAACAAAACACTAAAACACACAGAGTGGTGTAATGGTGACTCTTACAGTCAACTGCAGAGTTGGGAGCACAGAGATGAATGGAGAGGAGAAGAATGATGGGGGCGGGGGGGCTGACTTTAATTTGTTGAAAATCTATTCGGGGATAATTATTTTAATTGGAAGACTTGAATTGAGAGGGCAGAGAAATGAGTTTGTATGAGCAAAAAGTCGTTATGGAAGGAATTATTTCTTAATTGCACACAAATGTAAGTAAGTAATGTAAAAATTAGAAATGGTCAAAGCAGTGAGCAGCCCATGTTTCCATGATGTAACTGAAATATTCTCAGAAGGTTTGCAACACTGAAAGATCTGAATCCAGTGCCAGACAGCTGGGGCTAACTTTTATCCCCGCTGCCGAATGAAGTCTCCTGGCAGAGACATTAATAGTCAACATCATTGAATGGCCATTTCTCTGATTTCTGCCAAAAAGAACAGTTCAATTTGAAAGCTTTTATGTCAACCCAGCATCTCTGGAGGAAGAGCAGCCTCCATCCCTTTCACACATGATGAAAAGTGGACAAATTGCTCAAATTACATTAGCAGTGAGTTTTTTTTTGTCAGTCTGTTGTGTTCCTATTTTTATTATCTTAGAATTCCTGTCTTGCCCTTTTTCTCATTTCGGCCAAAAATATAAAAAGTATTAAAAGTGTTTCCTCCAGAGCTGAAATTTATCTCCCACACACTCCCCCCCTGACTGAAGTCACATTGGACTCCTTTGTTTAATTCTGTTGCATAGTGACATCACTATGTTACCCCTCGCAGATATATTGGCTAGCGCTTCAACACATTGTAAGTAAGGCTAAGGGGCGTAAGTAGTTGACCAATCACAACAGAGACAGAGGGTAAAAGAGGCGCAGTATGAGAAAAGTATAGACCTTTTTGAACATTAAAGCGTGTAAACATGTCACAGTAGAAGCACTAAACACATATATGAACCGGAGAATTAGCATAAAAAGGGCCCCTTTGAAAGCATGTGTTAAAGTTTCAACATGAAGAGAATTCATGGCAAATAAAATGCTTACTCAACAAAACTTAGCCAGCATTGATTAATATTGTCAAAGTCAAAAGAATGTCAGTGTCTCAGATGTGTGTCTGCTTTGATAAGGATCATCCAACAGTCAGTGTAATTTACATTCAGCGAACACTAACCAGTCAAAACCTCTTATTTTATCACAAACTCATACATCTTATATTCCTTCAGGAGTGGTGCTGCACTTTATGGCTTCTAATCCTGCCTTAATTGATAAGTATTCATCATTCTCCTCTTCATACATCTTAGCCCATGATAGTTTTATCTGTCATTATCAAAAAGTGGATGTCTAGAAAGTATCAACTTAAAGAGTCTCTCTGTGTGCCTGTCTGTCTCCTGGGTGCCTGGGCTTCTCTTGAGTGTCAGTCAGCGCTGATAAATACTGTTTCAAGACTTCAGCATCGTCACAGAACTGTCACTATATGACAGCTATCAACTTGCCCTAAAATGGCTGTAAATTCTCCAAGGGAGAGCATGAAGTAGACGCCACTTGTATTGGACTGCAGGATGCGAGCAAATGGACAGGCAGGCAGGCTAGGGAAATGAACATGTACATTTCTGTATACACACAAAATGCTCCAGTGTGTGTGTTTAGTTGCTAAATCAAAGCATCTGTGGTGAAAAAGGTTTTTACACTAACTGTCAAGTTTTTAGAAAGTTAGTTACTTCTGACTTTTGCCCTTAATTGGTCTCTATGGGTCTGTGCGAGCGGTCTCTTAAAACCTGTCAAGGACATTTCACTGCTGAGGGAGGGAGGCCCTTATTTATATATTTTTACCAACTTATTTTCCAACCTGAAGTAAGCTCAGAGTATTTATTTATATCTGTCGCGGAAATTGATTATAGCAGTAAAAGTAGGGGGAATTATGGGCTTGACAGATTAATTTCCAACTCCTCCTTAACTTGTGTTACTATTAAGTGGCCCTTGTGAAATTTGATTACATTTTCACTACAATTGCATTTTCTAGTCCAGAGACAAACCCTTCAGACGGGCAGAGTGGCGCAGTGGGCTGTGCGTTTGCTCATCAGATCAAGGGCGAACTCCAGTTCGAAACCTGCTCCCGCCGCCACTGCGTCAGGCCGTTATGTTCTTGGGCAAGACACTTCACCCGAATTTGCTCCTGTGGGTATTATCCACTGTGCATGTATAATATGAATGTGTACTTGTAAAGCGCCGTGATGACTTTTGCCCCTTTCACACCAGCGCTTTTTCAGCTCCGGCTCGGAGCTGGAGCTGAAAAGCGCCGTTTTTTCCTGTTCAAACCGCAGCGGCGCCGGCTCTTAGCTCCGGAATCCGGTTCACTTCCAGCTCCAAAAAATTGTCGGTCTAGAGGCAAGAGCTTCGGAGCTAAGAGGTGGCGTCGCTTACGTCTCTCTTACGTCGAGGCGTGCAGGAAACTAAACCCAACTCCCCTGAACATGGGTCGACTGTCATGCCTGCCTACAAGCAGTAGTGCTTATAAACACACTTTATAAAGTCAGGCAACACTAACCAGGCTTCGTGTGATTCTGTTTATTTGTACCTTACTTTGACCATCCGTTCACTGTTATTGATCATTGTGGAGAGAGGCAGACGTGTTGTTTTGTATTATAGCAGCTATCGGATGGAATCAATACATGGGCTGCACAGGTTGTCGTGTCCGACTATCACAAGTAGAATCATAATAAAAATACGCCGGTAAAATGTGCCTGTAGAAAACGGTTTATGCCACAATAGGATAGCAATAGCAAGTAGTCAGTTTAGCTTCGGTTGCTATGCTAACATCACCCATTGTATACCAGAGAAACTTTCATAACAGCGTTGTGTTACCAAACAGCGTCAATTCAGACTGACACACATTCACTTAGGCTAAGGGAACTGGGGATATTATCAGCTGCTTGTGTGAGTCGGACAGTGAATACTTTAGGCGGCCGCTGCAGTGTGAGCTAACCGGGAGAGAGCTAACGGAGGAGAATAAACTCCCGTGGAAGAGCAGCCAACACTGCAGCGGTCGGTAAATGCTGGCAGAACACATTAATAAACAATGAACCACGGCACTCTGGAGAAAAGCATAAGGTTGGAGAAGTCGTTATTCAATTTATTCTGGCTTCGTGTGATTAAAAGCAACACGATCATCGACCCGACGCAGTTCCCCGTGTTGTTGTTGTTGTTGTTGTTGTGAGCGCCGTAATGCCGTTGGGGAGCAAATCAGCGATGTAACGGTGACGTCATGACGCAGCAGCGGCAGCACCAGTCGGGTGCTGGGCGGTGTGAACAGAGCGGGAGCAGAAAAGGGAAACCGGAGCTGAACCAGAAAAGCTCTAGCTCGGAGCTAGAAAGGGAAAAGCGCTGGCGTGAAAGCCGCATTTGAGGTGTGAAGATGGGCGGTGGGGCGCAGTGGGCTGTGCATTGATTATCAGATCAAGGGGGCGAAACCCGCCGCCGCTGCGTCCGTAAAGCCGTTGTGTCCTTGGGCAAGACACTTCAGCTGAATTTGATCCTGTGGGTATTGTCCACAGTACATGACCATTACATGTATGCATGATATGTATGTGTATGTGTATCTGTAAAAGCGCTTTGAGTCATTGAAAAGCACTATAATAAATATAAGGAATTATTATTATTAAGACACTTCCAGGCCGAAACAAAGAAAACAATCTCATTTACAAAACGCAGTCATGTGTAAAGCTAAGAATAATACTTAATAGTATCAATAACAGCCTAATTCATGGGTTTCACAAGTATAAGACAAGGTCCGTCTTTAACCTAGTGGAACATTTGCCAAATGAAAGAATCATTTCTGTCACTTTAATCCTCGGCTTCCTTTCACATTATTACCCATTATAATTTATTGAACTCCCATTAAAAAAAACTAAATGAATGGGAGTGTACTTAGCTCTTAGTTCACTTGAAGCACTGCTCGTCTGCACAACAACAGTGGCTGTCTATTCAAGTTTAGAATAGTAATGGAAACTTCATGAAAGCATTTATTGTGTGCAAACAATATACATTAAACTAAGACATTAAGGAAAGAATATGGGAAATGTTAGATATCAATTTCCATCATCAAAAGTTTTTCCAATTGACTTAGTCCACCATTACCACAGAGAAAAGACTCAATAACCTGCACTCGGTTGAAGGACAATTAGGACTTACTTCGATTATTGAAATATTAAGCAGTTTCTTTTTGCATGAGAGATCTTTCAAAGGTCTATTTTAGATCTGTTATTTCTTAACTGCACATCTACATTTCATGGTGACGTTTAACTGGGTCTATAAATCATATTTTAGTGATATAGAGTTCATAAAACAAAGCTTTTTTTATATAACTGTGCCAATCTCAAAGGCATGAAATGTACTCAGTTTGCCTTTGATACTTTCCCAGACATCCCATTGCCTTAACCCTGGTCTCAAGAGCAGGACAGATATCACACATTAGGGCTGTATTACCTGCTGGAGGTGACATGTAACACACTGGTAAGAAACTCAACTAACATTTCCAGAGAAGAAAGGGTCAGGAGCAGACGGGCAAAATGAAAGGCAAGGGGAAATGACAAGAGTGAAAGGAAGTGTAAGAAAGAAAGATGAAGGATGAATTTGAAGAGAGATGAGTGCTGGTGAGGGAGAGGAAGAGGAGGGGGAAGAGTGAATATGAGAAAGGCAGAGCAGAAGACAAATTAGAAACAGACTTCCGGCGCTGATCTGCCCTGAACTCCAATTCAATATTTAACCCTGTCATGAATACCCTTTCCCAATCTAACTGTCTGCCATCACTCACACCTGAGAGGACAAAGGCCTCAGCGACCTTAAATACCAATGAAGCAATTCCCTTCTTACTCTGCTTTAGGTCCTCGCCATTACAGTGTTTTCTCTTTGAAAAATGTCTATTTGTCTAAAAGGGAAGAGGAACTGAACACATGTCATAATGATGTAAAAAAAAAATCCCAAATGGAAGCGAACACGCAAGAATCCATGCTTTCATGTTTCACACGCAACTTGATATCCGAGACACATTTGAGACTCCAGGGGGGAAAACTGTGTCCGCCAAAGTGTGGATGGACGAGCAACTGACTCGCGAGCTATAGAGCTGCCTAAAAACTAAAATAAAACTAGCTATAAATAATTATAGCTCAAGTTAAAACATTTATGTGCCTGTGTCCTACATTAATGTAGTCTGGGCTGTGTGTGAGAGGCTATAATGTTGCCCCTAATCCAAGTGTCCATGTTCAGCGCCATAAATAATGTATGGTAATGGAAATGTGATGGACAATGGAATGGAAAAAGGCCACTGTCCATCCATTTTATTTTATTCACGGTTGGTTCACTTCCAACTAATGAGCCAATTCTGAATGAGTCCTTCTATAAATTGTACTGTTTAAATTCAAATCAAATTTTATTTATATAGCCCAATATCACAAATGACACATATGTCTGAGGGGAATTTACAGAGCGTGGAGCTTACGACACACTCTTTCCTCAGACACGTGGAGTGGACATGTACAAGTACACACATCCTTTACTCAAGTAGAAGTACAGATACTCGTGTTTAAAAATACTCTGGTAGAAGTACTGACTAAACTTCTTTACTCAAGTAAAAGTAAAGAAGTATGGGCTTCTAAATGTGCTTCAGTAAAAAGTACCCATAGCTACCAGCTGTTTTAAAGAGTACCTGACCTCCCTTTATATTAATAGAACAATAATGTCATTGTTAGCTAATGAATGTTTCCATACTGAACAACGGCAACATGACAACGTTTTCATTGGTCCCTCTTCTTTAGAGAAGACCAGGAAATGATGGATACACGGATCAGGTTCAAATCAATAGGCACGCAATGACTCTAAATAATAATGATCACGCACCAAACACACATTCAAACTAAAGGAACCAGCTGTTTGGAAAATGAGAGAAGTAGAAAGTACAGGTATTTGAGTTCAACATGTAAGAAGTAGAAAGTACAGGTATTTGTGTTCAACATGTAAGAAGTAGAAAGTACAGGTATTTGTGTTCAACATGTAAGAAGTAGAAAGTACAGGTATTTGAGTTCAACATGTAAGAAGTAGAAAGTACAGGTATTTGTGTTCAACATGTAAGAAGTAGAAAGTACAGGTATTTGTGTTCAACATGTAAGAAGTAGAAAGTTCAGGTATTTGTGTTCAACATGTAAGAAGTAAAAGTAAAAAGTCGTCAGAAAAATAAGTAGTGGAGTAAAGTACCGATATTAGAAAAATGTACCTAAGTATAGTAACAAAGTATTTGTACTCCACTACTTCCCACCTCTGACCATGGGGAGAGTGACAGTAGAAGTACACACATAGCAATACATTGGTGTGTACAGAGTAAGTAATAACTCATAGACAATCCAAATGAAACAGACGTCAGTTGGTGCGTTGAACTTACCCACGACCTCCTTGGATGGCGGCAGACTGGGGCTGAGGCTGGCGTTGATGCTCGAGTCGCCTTGGACCATGGCGCCTCCTTCCTTCTGCGAGCGTACGAGTTCCGAGAGACGTGTCACTTCCTCCCGGAGAGCATCAATATCTTGCTGGCGCTGTTGCTTGGCAATGGTGGTAGGGTTCATCTTGAAGTGGAGAACTCGGGTTTTGATGGGGTCGTAGTCACCCTGAGACAAAAAGACAAAGATCAGACCCTCCGTCAATTCTGCAAGTTGAGGAGGATAACATTGAGGGCATGCACTAATGCACACACACTTATTTTTACAAGCTGTTTTACAGAAGGCTATCACACATTCACACACAGTTTTTAGTGGAGTTCACATAGGCTAAGTTGCAATTAAAATGACCATTACCCACAGTAATTCACATATGGCCTTTGGAAGTGTGGCAAAAAAAACATAACTGACCGCGTGGCCAACAACAGTCACTGTCAGTAACAATTAGTGGATTACTATTTTGCTTATAAAATAAAACCCTAAATAATATAGTTATCAAATAATGGATACCTCAGAGCTGTCAATCCCATCTGTAATGTGCTAAAGGAGAAACATTGCAGGCTATTAAAAGAGCTGCTGATCTGGATATATCCTTCATGTTAAATATGATTACACATCAGAGGTTGCGCTAGACTTTTTCGCTGCCCGTCATTTTGCCGGACAGGATCGTAAAACTTCTGTCAAAATCCAGAATTACCCGTCGGCCTTTACACAACTCTGACGGGGGGGGTGGGGGGGGGGGGGGTGGGGGGGGGGGGACAGTTCACAGGGGGAGAAAGCATGCTCGTGAACTGTCAACGGGGGGGGGGACGGGACGACGACGACAGTTCACATGCGGCGTGTTATGCATGGCTGCTGCACCTCCACCACAGCGTAAAGCCAAAACTCACGGACATTTCAATGATTTGTGCGGCACAGTTAGGTTTGGAAACGGTATGACTTCCTTTTTGGAGGGCATGCATAACACGGCATAACACCAGAGCCTCGCTGCGGGGAAACTTTGGCGCTGTTCCGAGTTTGTTCTAATCTGTCAAAATGACAGAATGCTTTCAGATTTGTCCGTCATTGTTAAAAAAAATCCGTCATAGACGGAAAATATTCGGTTAACGCGACCTCTGTTGCACATACAGCTTGGCATATTGGTAAATATTCTTATTTATATAGCTGGAGTGGTCAAGGTACTCCCATTTGTATATTTGTATCTGTAGGTGACTGGAAAAAAAAGTTGGGCAACATTTAATTTTATTTAAAATGCTTAAAAGACACAACCATCAGTTTCTCAGGGACATCTTCAAATGGTTCCAACAAACAACCCAAAACGCGAGAATAATCTATTAGAACTTAATTAAAGCATCAAATGATAATAAATAAATTGTGTCAGTTGTAAATAACAACACAAGGTCAGAAATCTGCAACTAATGTATTCAAATGCAGGTCTGGATGATGAAGAACGCAGCCTGAAAGGTTTTTCCGAGAGAAAATGTCGCTAACACACCTCAGTGCTGTTTCTTACCCTTTTTGATATTGTAAACAGCATTTGACATCCTCCCCCTTTAACTATCTAACCAATCTACAGTCCTCCCACATAATAACTCGCAGGCTTTAAGAATATGTTTGCCACACAGGACCCGAGCACATCGAACACCAGATACGCCTGCATAAGAAATGAAAACATTCATTGTACTCACGCATTTCTGTGAAGTGTATGTGCGGAAAACATGGACAAGGCAGAATGGCTTGAACAGACTTTCATAATCAACAGGCCGGGAAGAGTTCTCTGGGAACCATCCGAGAGAATGTGTGGACTGTGATTCAGAGGAATACACAGGGAGGAGATGGGAGGTGAAGTGTGGGCACAAAAGGGCTTTCCAATAAATCCATCTAGCTCTCAGTGTCAATGGTTCAACAACAACTTGATATTTGAACATGACAACCTCTGTGGCCGTTTAACCTTATTTATTTTTGTCAACTAAAGCACAACTGAAAGATTTTGGATGGCCCTGTCTTTATTCTCTTTGGTTACCATCATTTGATTTAGATACATCATTTTGTTCCTGGGTTACTCTTATCAATCTGAACTTTCTTGGTAATGGGACAAAACTGTATCTTAAAGTGAATGAACAAAAACATATTCAGCACAGTGCAGAGAAACGGGAATACAGGGATTTTAGCCTTTGCAGACCATTTACATGCACACAAACCTGTCTAACACACTACAGCAAAGTGAAAAACCAAAAAAGCATAATCGGACTTCTTTAATAGCTAGACTGGATATATTGCGTGTATCTGTAATTCAGTTCTTCATCAAGAAGAACAATTCAGATAACCAGACAAATATTTTTCTCAAATGCTTTCAGTTTTACATTTCTAACCATTCTTATGTATTGGGCTTTTCATTTCAGACCTTTGTGTATCTATCACACTTTAAATGTTCAACCTCAGCCATAAAAATGTTTGGCAACATTTCAACTTGTTTCCATTTATGCTGTTAATAAAATGTGCATTACCAACAGGTGAATACAAACTAATTTGCATTGATATGAAACCAACTAGACTTGAACAACATAGATCATAGTTTAATGATTCACTTTGTACCTTATGTGCCCATTTATTCAGTGCAATAAGTGTTGACGCCAACACAGCATGCACGAAGCAGGTCTGCTTGTGTAGGAGACGGGGCATTTGGAAATCAAACAAGAAGCTTTATTTCCAACTTTCTGTATCTAAAGATATTCATTTTCTGTGTAACTTTGACTCTTTTTCTTTTACCTAGCCTGCCAACATTTTCTGTGCAGAGGCTACAGGAGCATACTGCGAAGTTAAGAGCATCAGACTGCCTACCTGCTTTAGTTCCCAGCGTGCCGCTCTCTGCCCTCAGCCCAGAGCGGAGTCGACCACAGCAGCAAAACCCTCCACTGATTCACAGCAAACACAAGTATTTATTAATGTGCTGTTGTGCAATGCTGTGTTTTAACCTTAGACACCTTCTCTCCACACACACACACACACACACACACACACACACACACACACACACACACCACACACACACACACACACACACACACACACACCACACACACACCACACACACACACACACACACACACACACACACACACACACACACACACACACACACACACACACACACACACACACACACACACTATCTATATAGGCCATTTCAATAGTTGAACTGTAGGTGTCATAAAAAAACCTCACTGGAAACACAAGAGTTTAATTTTATTTAGTTGCCATTATTATAATTTGCTAGCAATGTATCCATCAGACAGACTAACACAGTGGTTCTCAAACTTTTTCTGTCAGGCCCCCCCTTTGGAGAAAAAAAAAAGTCGGGCCCCCCCCCCAACACAAATAGTCAGGCTCAGTGGCGGCGCCAAAGATTTATTTTGGGGGTACTGTGGGGTAGCTTGACGTTTCATAGAGGGTTCTCAAACATTTAGGGTTTCCCATTAATGTACCGGGCGCTACAGTGGCATTTTCTACTGCAACACTCCCCACGCAAATACACAACGTATACCCGCAACTGTTACAATGAAGGCTCGATAATCAGCTCACGGCATATAGGTGTAAGCAGGGGTAAAGTGCTATTTTTATAGGTGGTGTGTGGACCTCACATAGGGGGGTCCGGGGGCATGCTCCCCCGGGAAGATTTATTTTTAAATATTGAAGTTAAAAGCATCAATCTGGTGCACTTTGAGAGCAAAATGAAGAGATCTACAGTATGGATACATCTCTCAACACAGAACTGTAAACAGATTTACTATTTCTTTATGGATATTTTACAAATCACTCCCCTTTTAAACGTTATACATTTTTTAATGTCATATAGTATTTCATAATTGTTTTTAATTTATTTATATTAATGGTGACCAAAACGTTTGAGACCCACTGAGATAACACTGAGAGTCCTTTAGCTCACTGAGTCTCTCAGTCTGACAGGAGAGGACTCTCCTCCACTTTGTTGTTGAAAAAACTCCTTATATCCGTTAGCGTAGCTCGCTAGCACCAGAAGCTAACAACAACGATCTCCGGGTACGGTTGCGCTCTCTCTCTCTCTCGCGCACACACAATAAATGGCTCGTTCCACACACACACAGAGCCGAGCTTTAATGAAACACAGACACCCAGACGTAATAGTACTGCATCATATTATTTTCGAATCAATAATTTTTCAAAATATGATTTTTTTTTATTTTTATTTAAAATCTTTTTTATTTTTTTGTTTTAATAACCATTTTTTCTCCTGGTCTCTCGCGCCCCCCCCCCCCCCCTGTCATGCCTCTGCGCCCCCCTGGGGGGGCGCGCCCCCCCACTTTGAGAACCACTGGACTAACAGAACATGACATGACAAACAATGAGTTGTGAACACAGATTGAATTTATTGACAAGCCCACAAAATAAGAAGCTAAAGCAAGAAAGGGAAAGCTGTTTCCTAAAGCGTGATTACCTTATTTTCTTTCTTAGTAATATGTTCTTCTGAGGCGGGGGAATGGGAAAATGAGGGGAGTCTATCTCAGCTTAATGCCAATATAAACACACACAGAGGAACACACACACACACAACATGCCACACACACCAATCTCAGCTCTTGATTACTGGCTAAATTAGATTCCATATGCCCCAAAGCGACGATTGCAAAATAAACTGCAGGCGTGTGGGAGAGCAAGAAGCAGATGAGGAGAAAAGGAATATAAAGAAGATGGGAAACAGCGAAGGACACGGAGAAGAACACGATGAAAAACAAAAGAGGGTTAGGGGTGATGTTGCCTACAGCGTGGAGGAAAAGTAGCACGGATGAAGGGAATATGCCGTGTACGCTTATAAATAACGCTTTGTATAATTTAAAAGGATTGAGCGTTCTAAAATGAGGAGCAGAGAACGTGTGTATTTATATCAAAACATTTTCAACTGGACTGCATACACGTCACAGCCAGATAAAGTCAAGGCCTATTTTCGTCCTGCGTAAGTCTTTTGAAGTTGTACATCTGGATATGTAAGGAGGGGTTTATTCAAGGATGCGTGTGTGTGTGTGTGTGTGTGTGTGTGTGTGTGTGTGTGTGTGTGTGTGTGTGTGTGTGTGTGTGTGTGTGTGTGTGTGTGTGGTGATAAACAGCGAAGGAGAGTCAGATAGTGTGAGACAGAT